CCCCAAAACCCCAAAACCCCAAAACCCCATCATGAAATGTTTATTGTGAATAATGAAATTAATTATCTGAATAAAATATTTTGAGAATTGAAATAAAATAATTTCTAAAGTCACTAGATTCAAATATTGACTCCATTCATCATATGATCATTGGTCATTGTTGAGTTTTTATAAATTGAAGCTCCCCCTTCAGTCGTCATTACGTAGTCATATTGATTTGGAATCATGATCTCAGCCTACCTCATCTGATTATGAATCTCTTCTCTACCTATTCTTAGATTTCCTGTAGCCATTACAGGAGGAATAGGCCTTCTTTCGTTATTCTGCCTTCCAATTTTAGTCTAAGTCTAAAGGTTGTAGTATTTATTCAGGTTGAAGATAGGATTTTGAGATTACAAGTAGTCGTCTCGGGCATATTGCTTAGTATATCTCTTTTCCTTGCTATACAAGTCATCAATGACCTGTTTTATCTTAGATACATTATTCATTGGCAACTGCATCTGATTTTTATTGTAGAAGTGCCCATTCTAATTGTAATTGTTATTCTATGGAGTCTATAGCTGCTAAAGCGTCTAATTGTACTAGGCTGACATTTGCTAATTTTAAAGGAGAGGTGGGAGTACCTAGTGCTATTTAAACATATTCTAATTAGAGCTCTTGCTCACCTTGCTTTGGTTTTTACTCTTATAATTAAAGTCAAAGTTTCCTGTCTTTCTTTGAATTTTAGCTGTGCTTGCCTGCCTTTGCTAATCCCCGAAGGTAGTGGAGCTGAAGAGATTTTCCGTCTCTTAAGCTAAATCAGCGTTTATTAACTCTGGCCTAATGATTCTGCTTTTATTCTTATTTGGAAGAGATCTAAATGGATTGCGTCTCTTAGAAGCAACACTGGTGTAAATAACTGAGTTATTGATAGTAGGAGGGTTGGTCATGATTGACTCAGGGAAAGCTTAAGTCATCGGATCTATTTTTGATAATATGATTATCTCTTTCTTTTCCCTACTCTTTGGAGATTTTCCTCCTTCAGTTAATTCTTAATCCTCTTATGTTTTCATGTCCTCATTCAGATTTTTATTTCTCTTATACTTGGTTTAAACTCTTATCTTTTGAGGAGCCTCATTTTATGACAGCTAAAATGTGTTGTTCTAGGTTAAAGTTGCTTGATATGGAGAATTTGGGCCAAAATAAAGACTCTACTAATCTTGACTAATTTACTGTTGCGGAATGTGAAACTGATTAATAACTTTTGATGAGTACTTTTAACCCTGAATAACATCACTCAGGGTGTGATCCTCTTAAGACTCAATCAGAGAATCTTAATGTCCGGTAAGTTGCCTTGACTCACCCTGATGAACCAGTTTTTTATTGTTGTAGTATTCTTGATGTGCCTGTTCTTCGTTTACTCTATTTCTGTAGCTTAACTTAGGAAGCTTGTAATTTTGTCTCGCACTATTTCTAAATCCTAAATTACCGAGCTTATTGTCTTCACTTCTCTCCCTTCTAATAGCATTTGTACTACTTTGGGATTTCATCTATGATTCCAAGTTTGCTGTATTAATATCTCTCTTCTAAATTGCTGGATTTTACTGAATATCTTCAAATATTTGAAGTCTCTGATTTGAATTCACGGTGCTTAGGTCATTATTCTGAACAATATGCATTAAATCTACAGAGTGTTCCATTCCAATTATACTAGTTGGGAGCTTTTCATCATTATATGTATTCTCTCTGCTTCCAGAAAGACCAACTCCTATATCAGCCTAGAATCTATAATTTTAAGCTATTAATCTTGCATTAGCAGCCTCTATTGCTTCTTCGTTGTCAGTTAAAGGGTAAGGCATTTTGTCCACCATGCTTTTCTCAGACTGTTTGAATGCTGAATGCTTACTTCTTATTGGCTAAAATTTGTTATGAATAACTTTCAAAGTATCACTTATGAGATTGTTTTATTTTCTCAATGTTCTAAATGAGGTTAGGATAGAGTTATCAATTCCTTTAACTAGAATGACTTTCTCGAAAGGATCTATCTTTTATATCTCATTTGACCTCTCGTTCTTAATCAATATACCCTATTCCCTAGTATGCTCTTCAAGAAAAGCAGCTTATCCAATGTCAGAAGCATTTTTAATAGATGCATATTTCTGATTGTCCATTAAGAATGCCAAGAACTAGGGATTCAAGCTCACAGTGTTTTCGACGACAAACTTGTTATTTGCACTGTTTTCACCCTTCTTTAGGAAAATGGTAAATCTCGGGTATCTGTTGAATCTTCTTGGAGAGAAGTTATACAAACTTAGCTTTGAATCTGCATCTTCCATAATAGGATGCAAGTCTGATTGCAGGAATTCTAGTTTCTTGGTGGTCATCATTTACTAATAGGTAATCTTATCATCATCATTGTCTTTCCTCTTAGCCGATTAGTTCCTCTGAAATCTTTTGATGAACTAAGAAGTAGGCCTAGTTAGTTTGGGTTGGGTCCTCAAGCCATTATTTAAAATCTCGGTGTCTGTGTGATAATCATTATCAGGCTTGAAAATTATTCCTAATTCCTGAGATTAAGGATCTAATTAGCGATTTATATAGTCATTTTATTGATTTCTCTCTCCATTTTTATATCTGGGTTGCTATCTCTTGACTGTGATTTTATTCGGTATTTAATTTATTGGACTGACTTAGGCTTGAATCTGAGTTGGAGCCATTGGTGGGGTTATATCACTTTAATACTCAGATCTATTAGGATCAGTATCTTACTTAACAAATGAAGAAGCTTCTTTTGATACAATTTAGTGAGTGTAGTCTTCTGTTCTTTGTCTGTGATAGCTCTCAGAAGTCAATGGATGGTTATTATGTACAATCGCTAGTTATTACTATGACAGAATCTCTTAAATGAGCAGCTGCTCTTAATGTTAAGCATACTCATAAGCCATCTTTTCAAGTTAATCTTATTCGACCATTTCCTTCTTAGTTTCCTCAATTATTTTCATAATGTCTGTATTTTTAATTTCATCCTTTTTATCTTTATTTTTCTTTTCGGTTTCCTTATTGATTTTTTCTATTTTCATGATTTAAGCGAACACATAATTTCTATCCTTCGCGCCAGCAGTTGTGTTGTTGCTGCTGCTCTTATGCTCTGACTCAGCTCTTTTCTTATAAGGAGCCGTCATAGTCTACCTTTTATGTTCAGCTAGCAACTCTAGATTTCTTTCATTGTCTCTAGTTAGTTGCTTATGCTGTTTCTTCTCTTGGTTTAGCATTGCATTTCTGAAAGCATAATCGATTCCAGTCTTATTCATTCTGTTTTTAAAATTTTCTTCAAGCTTTTCATAGCCCAAATTCTTGACTGCTTAAATCTTACATAGTGTTGAGGCTTTATACTTTTGAGCTGCTCTAAGATCAGTTTCAAAGTTGGGATGCTGCTAGTTCATTCGTTTCTTGATTTCTTGGATTTTATTTGTCAGGAAGCTCTTGAGATCTTCTCTATCACCTTCAGTCTCACTTACATTAACACTGGTGTCTTCTGACTGTGGACCCTACTTATTTTCTTTTCTAGGCTTCATAGTCTTTAAAATTTTCGTGTCGATATTATCGTAACTCTATATCCCTTCATCTTCATAATTAATGTTCTCCTCTTCCTCTTAAAACATTTTTCTGAGATGATCTAATCTTTCCTTTAAGGTCATTCCATCCTGTTTGGAAGAAACTAGTTAATAATGATCTAATTGCTTATGAACTGGATAATTATGCTGCTTTTGAAGTGATTACTGGGTTAAATCCTCAGTTCTGTTGTGAGCAGTATTTTCTGAGATAAACTATGAATTCATCAAGTCATCATCCTAGACTCTAAGCGGATGACCTTGACTCTCCTATCTATGATGATTATTCTTATCAATATTCATTTAGTCTTCTAGGAACTTTTTCTAATTCAAGAACTTCTAATTAAGCTTCTTTTCTTCCTTTTGTTATTCCTTGAGTTGTAACTTACGATATTTATTGGCTATCTGATTTGCTTCTAAGGTCCTCTTCTTAAATTCCTTCTTTTTAAAAATGGACTTCAGTATTTGAACTGGGTCCTTTTCTTCATTAGAATCAGAATCGATTTATTTTTGAGTAATCACTTCTGTTTAGGCATGAGATTTAATGGATGGCTCTATATTTTTCATAGAAGAGGGATCAACACTATTCTAAAACTCCTCGATCTGCATGCCTGCATGGGCAAAGTTGGTCAAATCTCTTTTTGTTTAGTTTCCACTAAATACATTCTGGCTATTATCCTTAAGCGATGGCGCATATCTTTATTTTTATGAGCTTTTCTATAGAATAGCTTAATTTATCAGGAAGGCTCGATCTCCCATGCAGGGAATTTACTATCTGAATTAAATTGGATCATATTAAAAGTTGTAAGTATTATCCTTATTGACTAATTGCTTATCGATTGTTTCAATCTTGATGTTAATTAGATCTTCAATGTTCTTTGCTTATCTTAAGTGCTCTTAGTTAATCTTTTAACACTTTTTATATTACTGCATTAAACTGACTCCATTTTCGTTTGACATTTTATTGATTATGAATCCTTATATTAAGAATTTTATTTCTTGGCATTAACATTAGAAAATCTAGTATACTGGGGTTTTGGGGTTTTGGGG